ATTGACTTCCATGTTTTGTCAGAGGGTACTGTGCCAGTAAGTATTGTTTCATGGCTCTGTTCTTTTCTTCTAAAATGAAGTCGAGATCCTGGCCCTTTGATTTGTCCCCGCTAACTGTAAAAGAGGCATTCTTATCCCACACTTCTCTTACTTCATCGGGCATGAACTGGTATTGAATTGCGTCGAATAATTCAATCTTTTGGTAATGGGGATGGAAACGGCCATAAAACAAATCTTTGATGTGGAATTTGGCGCTTCGTACAAGTTCGGCATTGTTTCTTCTGATCCCCATTCTGAAGTTTATGATTGCCTGGGAGAATCTAAATACTTGCATGTTTAGATATGTGCAATTTGGGTTTTCTGCCATTTTTTCTTTGTAGAATGAAATAAATGATTCTACAGATATTGGCTGGATGTTGCTTTTTGCGTCTCTAACATACGGGACGACCATTTCTTGTAACGCTGTTGTATGAAATGTCAGCAGAAGTTGCCAGGCAACGTGATGGTCTTTGCAGGATTTTGCAAATTGCTTTGCATTTTCGGACACAAACCCCATCAACTCACACATCTTTCCTAAAAATGGAACCCAGTTGAGTTCAAAAAATGCCTTGACTGCATTCATTTCAAAATGCACCGCGCCTATCTTCATGTAAAGCCAGTCAAACTCTCTCGAACAAGATGGTGTATCAGCTATATTATCAAATCTCGTAATACAGTTTTTATATTATGGTTTTTCGTAGTATTACGATTTTTTGTAATATTACGAAAATTCGTTATATTACGATATTTCGTAATGGACTGGACTGTATAACCTGGAACAAAAGTAGACTACACTAAGATACATAAATTAGTGCATCGGTTTTTTATTTCGATGAACGGTGTTGACGTGGTTACTAAAAATAGAAATTTCTGTTAAATTCCTTTAAAACGCTACTCCTCCTACAATTTTGATCTGATTTCAATATATCTTGGCACACAAGTAGACTACACTAAGATACATAAAATCGTACATCCGTTTTTGATTTCACTGAATGGTGTTGCCATGGTTACTAACAATAGAAATTTATGTGAAACTCCCTTAAAATGCTACTCCTCCTACAGATTTGATCTGATATCAGTTGCTTTTTTCTCCTCCTCTGTTATAAGTACAAACCTGTAGAGCTACAGTCTCAACAGAGACTTCTGGTTAACTTTTTTAATTTGATTTTGTATAAGATGTATGTATATTTATAATGCTAATGGGTTTGGTTTTATGGTCATTTTCGATTTTGAATTTATTTTTATACCAATGATTTTGTTAAAATGCATTTTAGCCTTTTCCGCTGCAAATTCCTTCAACAAATTTCTTCGCACTGAACTTCGCGGGGCCTTAGAAGTCTCTACATTTTGTATAGATTCAATTTCTAATTTGTGTATCTCAGATTGTTTAAATAGCAATGTCAATATTACTGCAATGTGCGCCAATAAAACAATACTCACAAAAGATCCAGTTTTATAAAATAATTACATTATTCACATCACATCTAAAAAAGTTTTTATGCAGCAAGCACATGCCGGACATCGGTAGAAATGGCTCATAATCCCTTTATTTTCGATTATCAAATGATGTAGATTTTCTGTTTTAATGGACATTTGTAACAATTCGGGCACTCTTTCCTCAAATCTAATGATTCAATCCTGATGAGCACTTTATTCCCTGAATCATCATAATCATAAATGTACGCCATCACTGAATTATCACCAAAATATATCACACTGGAATTATAATATCCCACCGAAATTATAATATCACACCGCCGCCACAGTTGTTACGTCCGATCAATTATCGGATTTAATTAGTTAATCCATGTTTATTGCAGATAATAATAATAATATGCACAGTAAAACACTCTAGATATTTAATCTCCCCGGTGATTAACCTCCACCTTGGAAATAAAGAGTAAGTATCGGTTTAACTTTTACTTACACATTACCATAGTTAAGAATCATCCAAAATCATCAAAATCAAACACTGTTTAATTCATCCAGAAACAATTTTTGAGCAAAGTATATCCCAACAGAACAATATTAAGACTGTCCCCGTATCAAATAACTACCCGTATACATGTTTATACTAAATGACCATCACACCAAAGCAGTGATGGGGTATAAACAAATGACCGTCACTCCTAATGAGTGACCGTGTGTAAACAAACTATTCTCAAAATAGAACGAGTGACCGGGGGTTATATAAATACTGTAGAATATTAAATAAACAAATGAAATAATAAATTTAGAAAAACCAGAAGTCTCTGTCGAGACTGTAGCTCTACTGGTTATACCCGCACTTAATAAAGAAAGTTCGGGTATACTGTTGTTACTCGTGTCCGTCCGTCCGTCTGTCACACTTTTCTTCCCTGAACTCCTTTTACATTTTACATAGAAGCCTAATCATCTTTTGGGAGATGGTTGGTGGTGTCCTGTAGATGTGCAGTAAGGTTTCAGAATTTTGATTTTACCCCGGGTGGCCAAATGGGGGTCGAAAATGGGGGTCGAACATGTTAAAGTTTTTGGTGCAGGTCTCATTTCTAAGTAACTATAAGCCCTATGATGACCAAACTTGCATGGCTGATACATGTATAGATGTACACCACCAGGCTTGATTTGTATGCTGAATCTGATCTACATTTTTAGGATGAATGAAAAGGTTAAATTTTATGTTGGCTTAAGTCATATAATTGTTGTCATCAACATTTATAAAGTTGCTCATGTTATTGATTTCTTAACCAATTATGATTTGAAAGATGCTAATTATGTAGTTTTGAGAATGCCACTCCTCAATGAAAGGCCAAGGATTACAGAGAAATTTACCAAACTTTTATTTATTACATCTTTAAAAGGGGAACATACTGGATGTTCTAAATATGCTTTTTTCTATTGAAGATAACTTCAGTGTTAAGCTTTATAATTTTAATTTTCTAAACATGTATATAACAAAACAATCACAACACCAAAATATATAAGATTATTATATATATAATCATACATTTATAGTATTGTACACAATATTCTTGTTAAATATATTTGATGTATTGATTTACATAGTTTATGTAAATGTTGACAATCATTATCATTTGTTGAGAATATTGGTTAGTGACAGTAAAATTGGAAAATGGTCAGAGAAATAAGTTTCTAAGACATGACACTGAACATTCTTCACAAAGTCTTTCCTAATATACACATGGTCCAGAAGGGAATTGCTCTCAGCTGTGGGACGAGATACAATTTGTTGATGATTTTCCATAAGTTGGAGGATTTTGTGGTTTGGTTTCATCTGTATGTCTATATTGAAATCTCCTAATAGGAAGTCCATTTGTTCACTGTTGATTTTGCAGTCATTTAGAAGGAAGTGTTGAAGAGTTGAAAATTTTGTTTTGGGTGATGAGTAGATTACACCTATCTTCAAGCACATGGATGGAAGCTGTGTATCTTTGATTTCTATATTAACACTTTCAATAAATTCCTGTCGTATATTATTTGATTTGTATTGAATTTCAACATCAGTCTGGAGTTTCGACTTGTAATATACAATTATTCCATATGGAGATCTGGATCCATCATCAGTTTTTACATCAAACCTCTGCATATGGTAATCTTGAATTAGAAATTCTTCATTGGAATCTGTTTCACGAAGTTTGGATTCAGCAAAAGCCATAATGTCAGGCTGATAAAGGGCTATATCCTGGAGGACATCCACATAATGTTTATGGAAAGATCGTGCATTTTGATAGTAAATTGTAAAGTTATCTTTTTCGTTGTTAAGCAATTTACTGAAATCTGGTTCTAATTTCATTTCATTTTCCAGCCTCTTCATTTCTTGTACAACAGAATTGTCAATGTGTATTTTATTTTCATTTAGTTCCCGAATATATAGTCCATTTATACTTTTTACTCGGCTAAGTGAGACATAATGGCAATGGGGGAAACACCTTCCTGTGAAATCAACCACTGCAGCTTCCATGGTGTCTCCTTGACATCTATGACAGGTTTTAGCTGCAGCTGCTCGAAGAGGAAACTTGCACAGATTTATATCTCCCAACCATGAATGCTCTCTTCACTTTCATCACTGGTGTCCATGCTTTGTTCATTTTTGATTTGAATAATTGTTTTTTATTTGCTCTGCAGACTTGTCCTATAGTTTTATCATCAATTATTATGCTTCCTGTCAGTTTGTCTCTATGTAACCCAACTATTCCGCATAGTGGTCTAAGGATTTATATAGCGTAAACATACTCGAAATAGTGCACGGCTGTATTTACTGAATAAAATTCTTCATTGCACATGCCGGGGATCGAACTCACGACCATGAGATTGTCAGTCCGATGCCTTATCGATAACGCCATAGAGACGATCACTGATTGATGGAATTTTATTAAATATATAAACTTAATTTATACAATTTGACAAATATTATTTGAAAACAGTTATATTATTCTAAGGAACTTTAGATTAATGTGTACAACAAACTTTCAAACTAATTACATACAGATCGTTAGATGAACTGATTTTATAGGGTCATTAAAACACTTTTTTATATGACGCTTGATTGAAGGATGTAAAAGAAAATTATCAATGAGAATCGACGTCTGCAAACAAATAAGGCTTACTAACATAACAGAAAATAAAGATGTGTTGCTTTGGGACAGAAAATCCCGACTTATTTAGAGAAAATACTAGTAACCCAAATAACTAAGCATGCAAACAATTTTAGCATGAATATTTTGAATGAGTTCTTGCAAGTGCGCTGTTTAAGCACCGATATTTTCAGGAAAAAGTCAAATAGATTGCCGCATAAATAATTACAACAGTCAGCATAATAATAACAATAGTGTTGCATTATGCATGTACTATGCCTAACTCGTAGGCAGGGTTTGACACATAGTGCACTCGCCTCCGGCTCGTGCACCATGTGTCAAACCCAGCCTACTATTTAGGCATAGTACATGCATAATGCAACACTATTATATAAATAGTACCCACATGATATCATATGCTAAAAAATTATCAGAGAACTTCGAGACACCCACAAGAATTCCAGATGCACCATTTGCTAATCCATCCTCGACGTCAACATTAACTGAAATTTCACACCGCATTCCTTTAAATAATTCCAAGACTTTTTCCAGTCCCATGGTCTTGTTTGTGTCATCTGGTATGCTCTTTTTCACCTTTTCTTTAATTTCCTGGTCTATGTCACCTATCATAAAGTCTCTAGCTTGATGTGTAAACTTGTCTTGATGAGAAATGTTAAATATTCTTGAATTGAAGCTTTTGACTTCTTTATTTTGAAGAAAGATGTGAGGAACCAATAATGGGTAATCTTCTTTTGTCTCGTCTTTTTCAATTTTTCTTTCTTTTAGGATGTTAATGTCTTCTGTTGTGTGTTTGCACTCCCGAATACGATTTAGAATAGCAGCAAATTCTTTGGACTCTTTCTGTCGCATAATTTGTTGTAGGTGATACATTTTAAAGTTATCTTTCCAGAGATTTGTTGCGAGAGGTCCATAATCATCACGCAGGTTTTCATATATCCAGCCATCAAAGACAGGCTTGAGTTGATACAAGTCTCCAACAGCCAACACAGAAATGCCTCCAAACAGCTTTGAAGTCCCTGTTATTTGTTGAAGACGTTGATGAATATACTGTAACATTCTGTTCCCGACCATAGAGATCTCATCAATGATTATTAATTTGGTACTTTGGAATTTACAGCGTAGTGTATTGAGGCGCTCACTTCTCAGAGGTTTGTAAGAGAATCCTTGACTTGCTGGAATTTGAAACAAGTTGTGGATGGTATTACCATTGATGAGAAAAGCTGCTTTTCCTGTTGGAGCTGCTAACAAAACTTTTGGATCATCTGGATTACTGCCAGGCTGTTTGTTGAAGTGACGGATAAGAGCCTGATAAATCGACTTTACAAGTACAGTTTTTCCAACTCCAGCTCCACCAGTAAGGAAAGCATACAAAGCCTTCTCTTCATTTTTCATATGATGAAGAATGTGAATAAAAAAATGTATACTGTTCTTTGTTTAAAGATTGAACTAGAGAAAAATATTCTTCATCTTTCATGTATTTTACCATTACTTGTGAATCATTTGATGAATTTTACATCTGAGGAATCATAAGTAGGATATTCTGTAACTTCCTTTGTTCCTTCCTCAATGTCTGCCTTTTCCAAGGCTTCTGAACAGGGAGCTATTATATCCCAGTGACTATCGAGTGCTTCTTCACCCACAGTTTTTATATCCTCCATAGCTTGATCTAAATCCTTCCATGTGTGGTTATATTCTTGCATTTTTTCTAATATGTTTGTTGTTGTAACAAGATCAGTGAACCTCTGAAAGTATGTTTCTCTTCGTCCAATAATTCTTGCTTCATTTCTCCATGGATGATAAAGAAATAAGCACTCACGATAGAAGTTTTCTGGGTCATTTTTTTCGTTGTATCCAACACAGCGTATTACTGCTTGTTGTCTTCTTTTCCTTAATGTGGAAGAACTTTTTGTTTTCTTTCTTTCAGTGCTTTCTTCTGTTTGATCCACAGTGTTCTCCTCCTTTTCATCATCACTTTGATTATCAGTATAAAAGCTTGCTTTTGATGACACTGTTCCAACTGCTCTATATAATAAAACATAGTCAGCCAGGCATATGTTTTCCATGTCTTGTGATCGATTCTTATATCTTTGAATGTTGTTAGATTCTTCAACATCTATGGAGTCATCTGGTAAGTTTTCAATTTCCTTTGAACTTTTCAACATAATTACACGGTCTTTCTCAGGTGCTGTGTTGATAAAAATAACTTCTCTGGAGGATTTTCTTAATGGCATTTGAAGGATAAAATAAACGGCTTCTTGAGCAGATACTTCCACATGACTAAGGAACTTGTCACCAATTGCTTTGACTTGCCTCCTGAGATCTAAATTGCCTTCTTTTGCTTCTTTGCATGCATTAAATAGTAAGGTACTCATTCCCCTTTGTGCTTTGGAAATGTAGCTTACAATGTACATTACACAGGCATAAGCATCAAGGATGAATTGGATGTCCATATTGGCTCTCCAGGCTTTTAGAAGAACAGGATTGTAGTTGTTGATTCTTAGTTCATTTAATTCTCTTTTTAAAAAGATTGTGGGGGTTTTGATAGATGATTTTACAGCATTCATATATTGGTCATTGGAAAGATTTAATTCCTTAAGAAACATTGAAAATGTCATTTTCATTCCTTTGTTCATAGCATCAAGATATTTTGTGACTTTTTCTTAGTTCTGTTTATGATTTTCTTTCTCCTTTTCAGGAATACCATCTTCTAAAGGGCATAAAATGCAAGTATTTTGCATTGGTGGTTGAGGAAAATTAAATCTACACTCATTTTTGTTTCTTTTTCTACAAGTTCTGCCATGAGCATGGTGTTGATACTGCACTAATTCTTCAATTTCCTCTTTCTTTGCACAAGTGACATATGAGTCAATAAAAGATACAATGTCACTCTCATCATTTTCTCCAAATTTTGGTGCATTTTCTATCCAAATAACCATGTGAATGTGCGGAGAGCCTCGCATTTGAAATTCAACTTTGTAAAAAAAAATCAGACACTTTTCCAATTGGACCTAGGGAACTTTTCAATACTTGATTTATGAATATTTGAACTTGGTGATCAAAATGTCTTGCACAAGTGACTGGATCTTTTCTAAGTAAATCCGCCTTTTTGAAGAAATTAAACTGCTTTACATCTTCTTTAGAGTATTTTGTTTTGTCCACAGTCCATCCAAGTATTTGTAACAGATGTGTCCAGTGAGTTTCTGCGGCAGAAAATGAGGTAAACCAGGTTGGTATTCCAAGTTGTCTGATGAGAGCAAAAATGTCTTTCTTTGCCTGTTCCCAGTAAGGCGGAGAACCTCTAAGATCGCGGAATATCCTAAATCCTTCATCTAGTCTGCATAATTTGTTAATGTTTTCTGGATGTTTCAAATATCCTGCTGAGAGATTTTCTGTTTTCTTAGTTTTTCTAAGACAAATGTTTGCTTTGTCCATTACATTTTTAGATTGAATTTTTTTTGAATTTGAAGAATATGTTTGATATGTGACTAGCAACTCTCCTATCCACATTTCGCAGTTCAGACTTGCATATGTCACTGTACGACAGCTTTACTTCCCTCTGGCTGTTTTCAGGCCGAACTTTGCCACAAAAGATAGTTGGAAAACTCATTTCTTCTGCATTTCTGTCAAAAAATATGTTTAATGGTGAATTACCCTCTGCAGGAGCAAATGAAATAATCTTTGATCCTTCTGTTTCAATATCTTGTGGGTGAAGAAGTGTATCAAGAGTTCCACAAGGTAGATCTTCTTCAGGTATTTCATTCCAATCATCTTCTTTGTGAACTTCATCTTCTTTGGAAGAAGTTGATTCTGTTTCTAATTCCAGGTTGCACCTCCAAGATTTGTCCAGTGTTACCCCTGCTTCTTTGTATTGTTCGCTGTTTAACAGCAACCATTCTACAGCTCTTATAACCTTTTCAGGTCTCACTATCTGATAATTCACATGATGTTTATATGAAAGTTTTCTCTTTAGTTTCATTGGTATAGTTAAATTTTCATCAAGTGTCCTTGGTAATTTTGCCACTGTTTGATTGATGTTGGTAGGTACATTTACAATGTTTCCATGAAGACTGATTTGTTTTCCTCGTGGAAGTTCATGAAGCTGCATGAATGGAATTCTGAGGGAAACTAATTTTTCTTCTACTTCAGTGAGTTCTAGTTCATATGGTCTGGTAGGAAAGCACAAGCCATTATATTTTGAACAAGGTGGAATTTTATCATTGGCTAAATGTTTGCAGCATGTCTGGCATAACCATTCTTTACCATCAAAGCTATTGAGAGAGTTCATCGTTTTGAGCCTTAAATCAACTGAGATGTTAAAGGTAGATGCTAGCCTCACACTTTCTCTGTACCACAACTGGTAACAACATGTACACACGTACGAAGGACCTTCTCTTACAGCATTATGAAAATTAGAGATCAGGTTATCTACAGAGCCTTCTTTTTTATGCTTTTTAGCTGATTGTTCCTGCATTGTGTATTCAGTAAATTTTCTTTTGTTTCTCTTGTGTAATTTTTCTTTTTCACGATTTAGAGATGATAAACGTTTTGCGTTGTTCTCTTTTTCTCTCTGTTCTTTAGTCTTTCGTAACTCTTGTTTGTGTTGACTTTCTTGTTTTCTGCTGATGATGGAAAGACGCTTAACTTTATTTTCTTTTTCTCTCTGTTCTTCACTCTTTCGTAACTCTTGTTTGTGGTCTCTTTCTCGCTTTCTGCTGACGATGGAAGAACGTCTTGCTTTATTCTCTTTTTCTCTCTGTTCTTCACTCTTTCGTAACTCTTGTTTGTGGTCTCTTTCTCGCTTTCTGCTCACAATGGAAGAACGTCTTGCTTCATTTTCTTTTTCTCCCTGTTCTTCACTCTTCCGTAACTCTTGCTTGTGTTCTCTTTCTTGCTTTCTGCTGACAATAGAAGAACGCTTTACTTTATTTTCTTTTTCTCTCTGTTCTTCACTCTTTCGTAACTCTTTTTTGTGTTCTCTTTCTTGTTTTCTGCCGGTGAATGAAGAGCGCTTAGCTTCATTTTCCTTCCTTCTTTGATCTTCATTTAGTCTAATCAGCTGCTTATGAAGACATTCCTTCATTCTACTTGATTTTGAATTTCGCTTCATGCTGTTTTCCTTCTTTCGTTCTTCTTCATTAGTTCTCTTTTGTTGCTTATAGTTTTTTTCATGTAATCTATGAAGCAGTGATAATCTTTTTCTTTCATTTTCCTTTCTCCTATACTCTGGATTCATTCGCTGGATTCTTTTTCGTTCCCTTTCTTTTCTTTTTACCTCACTTTGTTCATAGTTATTTGAGACAACCGTTCTTTCAAAGTTTTTCTGTTGTAATTGTTGGAACTTAAAATAATCCATTAAAAGTTTACTATCTGTATTGTCTTCATTTTTCGAGTGTTCTGTTCTTTTTTCTTCAATTGGGTATTCTGAAGCCATGGTCAATACTACTTCGTAATGATTTAAATTTCTGTGGAATAAATATATGCTTCCTTCTTGCGGATGAATTTCTGGTTCTATAAATTGACCTGAGAACTTCAACCATGTCCAGATGTTTCCATTTTTTGTATAGGAGTATATGTCGGTCTTAAGAAGATGTGCCATAGTAAATATTTCTACTTCAGTGGCCCAGATTTTGTTGTTATTCATTTTTGAATTTTTTAGATATTCATTTGTAGAAATGTTTCCAATTATTGAGGTTAATTTTGTACCAAGATCTTTTATGTGTTCACATACACAGAATCGAAGATGAAGATGATGACCTTCTGATCCTGTTATTGCATAGGATATTGCCCGAAAGAAACAGTTGCCATCTCCAATTATATGGTGTGTTTGTCCAGGTTTTACTAATTGTACATCTCTTGTATTTGAAAAGGTTGGATTTAGTACATCTTCATTAATGGACAATGCAGAACACAATTGAAGTTGCAAGTCAAGGGTTATTGGTTTAAATTTCATGACAGATAACTCTTCACTGCATATTTGGATATCATCATCAATTTTATATTTCCTGTCTCTTTCTTGTTTCTCGTTTGATAATTGTTGATTAATATCTGATTTTTCTTTGTTTGTGATATATGCAACTTCTCTGCTACATTTATGATTCTGGAACTTTTGAAAAGTGCTATAAAGCTTTTGACATTTTGTGCAAAATGGACACTTGTGTCTACTCAGTGATGCTTCAGTTTTATACGATTTCTTGCAATTTTGACAAGTGTTTGTGGACATGAAAAGTAATTTGCATTTATGGTTTTTCAATTTGTAGTTTGATGTAAACACTTGCCCACATTGAATACATTGAGAACACTTGTGTCTCTTTAAACCGTTGATGGTTTTATATATCTTTCCACATTTCTTGCAACTATACTCTAAATCTGCTTTATTTCCATTGCAAGATTGA